TCTTTCCACATTTGGTACTTCCTCCAGCAGCTCTTGTAGGGCAGGCCTGGTGGTGACAAAGTCTCTCAGCATTTGCTTATCTGTAAAGCATTTTATTTCTCCTTCACTTATGAAGCTTAGTTTGACTGAATATGAAACTCTAGGTTGAAAATTCTTTTCTTTAAGGATGTTGAATATTGGCCCCCACTCTCTTCTGGCTTGCAGAGTTTCTGCCAAGAGATCCACTCTTAGTCTGATGTGCTTCCCTTTGTTGGTAACCCGACCTTTCTCTCTGGCTGCCCTTAACACTTTTTCCTTCATTTCAACTTTGATGAATCTGACAATTATGTGTCTTGGAGTCACTCTTCTTGAGGAGCATCTTGTGACATTCTCTGTATTTCCTGAATTTGAACATTGGCCTGCCTTTCTAGGTTGGGGAAGTTCTCCTGGATAATGTCCTGCAGAGTGTCTTCCAACTTGGTTCCATTCTCCCTGTCACTTTCAGGTACACCAATCAGACATAGATTTGGTCTTTTCACATAGTCCCATATTTCTTGGAGGGTTTGTTCATTTCTTTTTACTCTTTTTTCTCTAAACTTCTCTTCTCACTTCGTTTCATTCATTTGATCTTCAGTCACTGATACCCTTTCTTCCAGTTGATCAAATCTGTTACTGAATCTTGTGCATTCACCACACAGTTCTCGTGCCATGGTTTTCACCTCTATCGGTCATTTCAGGACTTCTCTACATAAGTTATTCTAGTTAGCCATTTGTCTAATCTTTTTTCAAGGTTTTTAGCTTCTTTGCGATGGGTTTGAACTTCCTCCTTTAGCTCGGAGAAGTCTGATTATCTGAAGCCTTCTTCTCTCAACTCGTCGAAGTCATTCTCCATCCAGCTTTGTTATGTTGCTGGTGACGAGATGCATTCCTTTGGAGGGGGAGAGATGCTCTGATTTTTAGAATTTTCAGCTTTTCTGCTCTGTTTTTTCTACATCTTTGTGGTTTTATCTACCTTTAGTCTTTGATGATGGTGACGTACAGATGGGATTTTGATGTGGAGGAACTTTTTGTTTGTTAGTTTTCCTTCTAACAGTGAGGACACTCAGCTGCAGGTCTGTTGGAGTTTGCTGGAGATCCACTCCAGACCCTGTTTGCCTGGGTATCAGCAGTGGAGGCTGTAGAAGAGTGAATATTGCTGAACAGCAAATGTTGCTGTCTGATCGTTCTCTGGAAGCTTTGTCTCAGAGGGGTACTCCACCGTGTGAGGTGTCAGTCTGCCCCTACTGGGAGATGCCTCCCAGTTAGGCTACTTGGGGTCAGGGACCCACTTGAGGAGACAGTCTGTCCGTTCTCAGAACTCAAACTCCATGCTGGGAGAACCACTACTCTCTTCAAAGCTGTCAGACAGGGACATTTAAATCTGCAGAGGTTTCTGCTGCCTTTTCTTTGGCTATGCCCTGTCTCCAGAGGTGGAGTCTACAGAGGCAGGCAGGCCTCCTTGATTTGCGGTGGGCTCCACCCAGTTTGAGCTTCCTGGAGGCTTTGTTTACCTACTCAAGCCTCAGCAATGGCAGACGCCCCTCCCCCAGCCTTGCTGCCACCTTGCAGTTAGATCTCAGACTGCTGTGCTAGTGAGAGTTGACAATATGCTAGCAGCCCTCACTCTCAGCGTCTGTGGCCTCGCTTTCCACTCTGGTCACACTTGAGGAGCCCTTCAGCCCATCACGGCACCATGGGAGCCCCACTCTGAGCTGGCTGAGGCCGCAGCCTCCTCCCGCTGCTTGTGTGGAGGTGTGGAGGGAGAGGCACCAGTGGGAACCAAGGCTGTGCTGGCAGGCCGGTGTGAGTTTCCGGAGGCAGGCGTGGGCGCGGCTGGCCCTGCAGGTGCAGCTGGACTGGCTCATGGAGAGGACGGCGGCACCGCAGGCCCAGGGCAGTGAGGGGCTTAGCACCCAGGCCAGCAGCTGTGGGGGTTGTGCCATGTCCCCCAGCAGTGCCGGCAGGCCAGCACCACACTCAAATTCTCGCCAGGCCTTAGTTGCTTCCCGGCAGGGCAGGGCTCGGGACCTGCAGCCCGCCATGTCTGAGCTCCCACCCTGTGGTGGGCTCCCGGGCAGCCTGAGCCTCCCCCAGGGGCACTGCCCCCTGCTCCGTGGCACCCGGTCCCATGGACAGCCCAAAGGCTGAGCAGTGCAGGTGCTCTAGGGACTGGTGGGCAGCTCCGCCTGCAGGCCTGGTGCAGGATCCACTGGGTGAAGCCAGGGCTCCTGAACTGGATGAGGACTTGGAGAGCTTTTTTATCTAGCCAGAGGATCGTATGTGCACCAATCAGCACTCTGTGTCCAGCTTAGGGTTTGTAAATACACCAATCAGTATTCTGTGTCTAGCTCAAGGTTTGTGAATATGTATCTAACTAACCTAGTGGGGACTTGGAGGACTAGCACTCTATGACTCTGTCTAGCTCAAGGATTGTAAAGGCACCAATCAGCACTCTGTGTCTAGCTCAGGGTTTGTAAATACACCAATCAGTACTCTGTGTCTAGCCCCAGGTTTGTAAATACACCAGTTGGTACTTTGTATCTAACTAACTCTGTATCTAGCTAACTAGCACTCTGTGACTCTGTGTCTAGCTCAAGGATTGTAAACGCACCAATCAGTACCAATTGGTACTCTGTATCTAGCTAACTCTGTATCTAGCTAACTAGCACTCTGTGACTCTGTGTCTAGCTCAAGGATTGTAAGGGCACCAACAGCACTCTGTCAAAATGGACCAATCAACTCTCTGTAAAACAGACCAATCAGCAGGATGCAGGTGGGACCAGATAAGGGAAGAAAAGCAGGCTGCCCCAGCCAGCCAGCTAGGCAACCCGCTAGGGTCCCCTTCCACACCGTGAGAATTTTATTCTTTCGCTCTTTGCAATAAATCTTGCTGATGCTCACTCTTTGGGTCCACACTGCCTTTATGAGCTGTAACACTCACCGCAAAGGTCTGCAGCTTCACTCCTGACAGCAAGACTATGAACCTACCAGAAGGAAGAACCTCCAGAAGCATCTGAATGTCTGAAGGAACGAACTCAGGACACACCATCTTTAAGAACTGTAACACTCACCCTGAGGGTCCGCAGCTTCATTCTTGAAGTCCGTAAGGCAAAGAACCCACCAATTCCAGACACACTAGCAATGAGGGAGGCTCCGTGGATGTAGAGCCCTCTGAGTCAGGCACAGGATATAATCTCCTGGTGTGCTGTTTGCTAAGACCCCTGGAAAAGCACAGTATTAGGGTGGGAGGGACCCAATTTTCCAGGTGCTGTGTGTCACGGTTTCCCTTGGCTATGAAAGGGAATTCCCTTACCCCTTGCACTTCCTGGCTGAGGCGATGCCCTGCCCTGCTTTGGCTCTGGCTCGGTGGGCTGCACCCACTGTCCTGCACCCACTGTCTGACATGCCCCAGTGGATGAACCCGGTACCTCAGTTGGAAATGCAGAAATCACCCATCTTCTGTGTCACTCACTCTGGGAGCTGTAGCCTGGAGCTGTTCCTATTCGGCCATCTTGGAACTGATCCCCCCCTTTTGATTTTTTTGTGACAGAGTCTCACTCTCTTGCCCAGGCTGGGGTGCATTGGCATGACCTTGGCTCACTGCAACCTCTGCCTCCTGGGTCCAAGTGATTCTCCCACCTTAGCCTCCTGAGTAACTGGAACTAGAGGCATGCCCCACCATGCCCAGCTAACTTTTGTGTTTTTTGGTAGAGATGGGGTTTCTCCTTTTTGGTCAGGCTGGTCTTGAACTCCTGACCTCAAGTGATCTGCCCGCCTCTGCCACTCAAAGTGCTGGGATTACAGGCATGAGCCACCATGCTCAGCCAGATTTCAGTCTTTAATCCACCTTGATTTGATTTTTGTGTCTGGTGAGATATAGGGGTCTAGTTTCATTCTTCTGCATATTGATATCCAGCTTTCCCAGCTCCAAAAGAGACTATCTTTTCCCCAGTGTACGTTCTTGACAACAATATTGAAAATGAGTTCACCATAGGTGTGTGGATTTGTTTCTGGGTGGTCTATTCTATTTCATTGGTCAATGTGTCTGTTTTTATACAAGTTCCATGCTGTTTTGGTTACTATACCTCTGTAGTATAATTTGAAGTCAGGTAATATGATTTCTCCAGTTTTGTTCTTTTTGCTGAAGACAGTTTTAGCTGTTCTGAGTCTTTTATGGTTCTATAGAAATTTTAGGATTTTTTTCTTCTATGTCTTTGAAGAAAGTCATTGGTATTTTGAGAGATTGCATTGAATCTGTACATTGCTTTGAGTAGTGTGGACAGTTTTAACTATATCGATTCTTACAATATGTAGACATGGAATGTCCTTCTGTTTTTGTGTCTTCTTCATTTTCCTTCATCAGTGTTTTACAGTATTCATTGTAGACATCACCCTCTTCTTTGATTAAGCTAATTCCTAGATATTTAGTTCATTTAAATATATGTGCTACAAAAAGGCATAATTTTTTTTTTGAGATGCAGTCGCATTCTGTTGCCCTGGCTGGAGTGCGGTGCTGTAATCTTGGCTTACTGCAGGTTCAAGCAATTCCCCTGCCTCAGCTTCCTAGGTCGCTGAGATTACAGGCACATGCCACCCACGCCTAGCTAATTTTTATATTTTTAGTAAAAATGGGGCTTCACCATGTTGGTCAGGCTGGTGTTGAACTCCTGGCCTCAGGTGATCTACCCACCTTGACCTCCCAAAGTGCAGGGATTACAGGTGTTAGCCACTGTGCTTGGTCAAAAATGTCATAATTAAACTATGAATATTCTTTCTAAACAATAGGTAAAGTCATAGTGGATTAACTCTCACCTATGTTAATAATCAAATTGGAGTTCTGACAAAGGCCCCACATCAACAGTGATTACAATGATCAAAATATTTACTTGTTGGTTCTCAGTCATTCAGTTCTATAGATTTCTCATTAATGTGTGGAATATTATCTGATAATACTTTTGTAAAGAGGTTTTTATCGATTTTCTTAATATAAAACTTAGTATAGAATACTCCAGATATAACATGTGATACAAATGTCACTGTTAGAGTCATCAAAATAATTCTTATTTTCATTAATGATTGTGGATGTAGTTTTTAAGAAATGTTTTCTGTTATCAGAGCTCAGGAGGAGTTAATGGTGCTAACTGGGGGTGGTGGAGATAGTCCTATGAGAAGCAGAGAAGCCAAATCTACTTACCCAGCACTGATTTAGTCATCTCCTTTATATTACCGAGTTTAACACTCTATATAGACCGTGAGAGAGCTCAATTCATGTAAAGAATCCCCAGTTTTTTATGCAGTACATTGGACAAAGCCCATCTTCATTTCAGGGTTCTATTCACAAAGTAATTTGAGGTCTCTGGGGTTCTGGGGCACAGCTTTCTTGAAGAGCAAAGCAGAAGTCCTTAGGGAAATCAGGCTCCACTTACGGTCCCATCCCTTGACTCAGCCATTAGAACAATGGGTTTTTCTGGTTGAAGAATTCCTCCAAAGCGTAATTTCAGGGGGATCTGCAACAGTTAAATAAGCATATTGATTAGCATTAAATAAAGCAAAAGTAGAAAGTATAGCATCAAAGTAAAAAAAATGCATTAATGACAATAATGCTTTGTAAACATATAAAAACTACTTCCAGTATTATAAATCTTGGATTCTTTATACTTACTCTATAAGATGTGTGAAGATTGTATAGTGAGAGCATTCATCATCTATCATTTAACAAAATATTTATGGAGCACCTATTCTGTGCAACGCCTGACCTCAGACAAATTCATGGGAATCCATGTTCGTTTTGATTTAAATTTTAAGTAAAATCGATGAGTTTTAAAAATTTAAACCAGATTATTAAGCATGATGGCAAACTATTTTTGAAGAGTCATATAAAGTTAATTTTGTGTATGTTGAAACTTGCAAGGTAATCCTGGGTAGTTGTACATTTTAACTATATGGACAGTCTTCAACTTCCAGAGTCCAGTAATTCCTCCCAATTGAACCCATCTAGTGTAAAGATGGGAAGACGCCTTCAGGAAGCATCATTGTTTTATTTTTTAACATTTTCTCTTGGTTTCCAATGGTAGTGCAAGTGGGGAACCTCTCAATTCCTACAGTGTTTTGACTCAACTTTTAACCCCATTCTTATGGAGACAGACACTGCTTCAGTGTTGAGGGAACACAACAGAGTGATATTCTGATCTCCATGGAGTGATGGCCAAGAAAATTGCCATGGAGATCAAGAAGTGCCAGCTTGGAACTTACAAGTGAGTGCCTTTCCCATCCCAGGTGTGCCAGAGGACTACTTTCCCTCAGGGCTGCGTCCCCTGTCTAAGCACACATGCAGGATGGCTACATAGCTGGCCTAAAGCCACAAATAACGTGGAATATGGAAATAATATGGAAATCATCTCTATCTTTTTCCTTTCCTATGTAGAAAGCCTGCTTAAGGGGTGGAATTGCTTAATAAATACATGAGACTTAGAAATAAGATTTATAGGGTCTTGCTTAATATGAATAAATGACGTCTGTTCTTTAATTTCTTCAGAGAAAAGATTCCAAATCTTTTAATAAATATAATATCTTAATATTTAAAACTTTTCAAAAGGCATGTATATATTTTCCCTGCAGATAGACAGGCACGTCCACATGTGCAAGCACAAACACACATGTAAATACATGAATGTCATTTGTTAAATGTTCACATTAAAAAACTTAATATTTGTATGCAAGCCAATCAACTGCACATCACTCCTTAAACATTTACCAAATGACCAAATGCTTGAATTAGATTAGGTCGCTTGCAAGACACCACTGGGATATTTTAAAAGGAACAAAATGACAGGATATTGTTAATGGATAAGGGGAAGACATTCTTAGACACAGAGAAAATACAGAGAACAAAACTCAGTGATTTAATGGCAAATTATGATATTATATGATAATAGTCTCCAGTAACCAATAACAGAGCAGAGGAGTAAATCAGCCCTGGACTAGGTCAAGAAGACACCTTGGAGAGCTTGAGAATTGAACTAGATCTTGAAAGATAAGAACAGAATGAGGAGAAGAAAGGGAAGAAGATTAATAGAGTTATAATTGGGTTGAAAAGGAGCCCAGTTGGATAGAGCTAGGCAACTGGAAGGTAAGGTCAGTAAGGATGGCCTTGGACCATGGTAGTCCTTCATATCCAGTAGAAATACCTTAGTCATTTTCCACCTTGGCTTCACATGAGAAGCAATTGGGGAGCTTTTAAAGCCACACTCTGGGCAAATTAGTTTAGAATTTCTGAGATGTCCCCGGCGTCATGAATTTTTAAAGCTCACTGGTGATTCCAATGTACAGCTAGTGGTTGGGAGCCACTGTCATGAGAAAGCTTCTACAAGTTCTGGGAAGGAATAGCACCATTCAAAAGTCAAAACAAGATAGTAATTGCACTTCATGATTGTGCAAAATACTTCCCCATCTTTCCAATTGACTTGAAACTGAATTTAAACCTTGCTCAAATTCAAGGAGACTGCAGATAGTCATGCCATGCTAATCTACATTGATGTTACATGATGTTTTTAATGCTACAGCTTTTTAATGCCAGAACTGAAGCACCCTTAAAGATCACAGATGGGCCCAAATAGATTCCTTGGCTCATAGAACAAATTAGTAGAAGATTAAATGGGTGTGTTCTTTTTTAAATATACAGACCTTCAGTTAAAATAATTCTTAAGAAAACATTATTTATGCAGAAAATTGACTGACCTGTGTTTCTTTACAAGGTTTGAAGGAGAAGTTCTGAAGGACTCTGGTTAGAGCAAGTTTCATGTTCAGGAGAGCAAACCTCATGCCAATGCAGTTTCTGGGTCCACTTCCAAAGGGTGTATATATGTAAGGATCTATGTTGTCCTTGTTCTTTTTACTGAACCTGGTTCCACATTGGTAGATTTTTAAAAAGTTAATGACATAATACCCCTAAGAGTTACATGTTAGAGTTTCTTACTTAGGGCCCACTCCTCTACTAGTAGTACACAGGATACTTTTGTGAACTGGTCATTGAAATCCTGCCATGCTTATTTTACTATGAGAATTGTAAGCTACAGATCCTTTCTACTCTCGTTACACTATAGGAGGTTTCAGTCTTGTTGAGAGGAGATAAATAGTGTTGCAAAGAATATGTATTTCTAAACACTCAGATTATATTCAGGGTGGTTATGTGTTCACACTATAAAGGCACATAAGTGATGAGACTGATGGAAAAGTAGATTCCTGCCTCAAGTCACGTTTATATTGGTCATGAGGAAGGAGAGGAAGAAACTGTCTTGCACTATTTCAAAATTGTTATTTTGCACTTTCCTTCTCATCTCCTCTCTTGTTTTTCTAATTCTCCTCCTTCTCCTCCCTACCTTGTCTTATCCCTCCTTCTTTCCTCCTTCTGCTCCTTCTTCTTCTCTCCATCTCTCCCTCTTTCTCCCCCACACCTCCATAGAATAGTTAAAGTCAGATAATTTACACGGGTGTATGATGCTACTGTACCAGTGCAAAGCAGTATCATCACTGCTTTCTTTGTCTATCTGTTCCACTAAGCTATAAATTCTTTGAAGATTAGACCCATGTTTTTTATTCAAACTTGACTCCTAAATATTTGATTATATTAAGAAAAAAATATTCATTTCTGGGACATAATAATAGCATTGTGATCATGTGTTTTTAAAAGAGTCCTTATATTTTGAACACTTATGACCCATAAGGACATAACTGATGACCTTCATTTTAAGTTTTTGGGACTGTGGGTGGCTGTAGTTTTCTTTTATCTAGTCTATGGTTTGTAAAGTGTAACAATGATCAATTTCATGAAAAAAAACTTTTAAAAATAAAAAGACAAGCAAATGATTGTACAAGACCACGACTGTCCTGTAGATTAAGAGAGGCAGAATATGCTTGAACCAGGCTGGTTCAGGGAGGACTGCTTTCCCAGTGGCCTTGTACCTTTCAGGGAGGAACTTCTCAGGCTCTGTCCAGTGCTTTGGGTCACGATGAAGAACATAGGTTGGAATCATCACCACCACCCCTTTGGGAATGAACATCCCATTGATTTCAACATCTTTTTTGCAGACCCTCTCAAGTCTTATAGCAACTGGGAATAATCTGAGTGTTTCATTCACCACCATGTCGAGATACTCCATCTGTAGCATAGTATCATAGGTGGGTGGTGCCTGGTAAGAAAGAAACAGATTTGGATAAACTGAGATTTCGGATTAACTTTTAACTCAGTCCATGCAGTACTATTGACATGTTAGAAGCTCCAGAGAATAACTCATACTGATAAAGGATCATAACATTCATAAATTGTTTTAATAACTGTCATGCCCATTGATGTGCTCAACGGCCCACTGAGATATGTGGAGGAGTTATGAAAGTGGGAGACATTCGGGACGGTTCTCACTCCAGGGGCAGAAATCCTTAGCATAACCGTGCAGTGTTTTTTCTTTCTCATGGAAACAAACGTGACTAATAGGCTATGAGCATTAGCATCAGATAAAATATGGCAAAGTGATTGTCACCTTTCAAAAAAGAGATCACGTGTCTGTAACAAAGAAAGTGAAAAGAGATATTAAAAGCAAATTCTTTGTGCCACACAAGGACTATTGGTCAGAGTCCTGCTTTGTAATTCTTTTTGTTACATATACAAACAAAAACAGCTACTAAACAGGATTTGTATTGTATGTATGTGTGTGTATATATGTACACATGAATATATATACATATATACACACACGTATATATATACACACATATATACAATACAAATGTATACGTACACATATACACACACAAGACTTTTGTTATATTCATAAAATATGGAGAGAAACACTATATTATATAAAATCTCTATCAATAATTTGAGGACAACTAGTCCCTTCTATCCCAAATACGACAAAAGAAGGTTCTGGTTGGATGTTACCATGATTTCAGTGCTAGTGGAAATTATAAAGAGGATAGAACCCCACACAGCCCTATCCTCACTTGCTGAAACAGTCTCCTAGTTGTTACTCCAAGGCTGAACTGTAATCTCTGAAGAACATCCCTTTGTGTTCACCTCACTGCCACACCCAGGCCGAGATCAGGCCTTGGCACCCCAACTCCAGCCTGGGTGACAGAGCAAGACTCCAACTCAAAAACAAACAAACAAACGAACATAAAACCCACAGGTTCCTGGGCCTACCAGAAATGAGAAGGGGGTGCCCAGGGGCCTAACAACGAGGAGGCAGGGACCACTGAGGGCCATCTGGAGAGACTCCAAAGTATCCCATCTATCTAGAGACATGAAAAAGAAGGCATCATGCCCAACTCATTCCATGAGGGCCACATGATCCAAATCAGAAAAAAATCAGGACCACAAAGGAAGATGGCATGCCAGTCTCATTCATGAGCATCAGCGCAAAAATCCTGAACAAAATAGTACCAAGCCAGAGACAGCAGTGTTCAAAGATGATACACCATGACCAAGTTGAATTTAAACCTGAGGCTCAAGAATAGTTAACAAAGTATAAATACCAATGATTTCATCAACAGATTAAAGGAGAACGATTATAAGATCATCTCAGTTGTTTTAGGAAGAGCCTTTGATAGTTCAGTAATAATATATTAATAATATATGATTATATTAAACTCCCATTTATGATATAAAAAACCTTCAACAACTAATAGCAGGGAATTTTCTTAATCTGATGAAAGCATCTACCAAAAAAAGTTAGATAAAACATTATTCTTAGTAGTATAAAAGCATTATCCTGGTATACCTTCTTAATGTTTACCATGTGCACAAATTACCTTTAAAACTAGTGACTTTTTTTAAACAAAAAAATCCTATCAATTAACTTACTTTTTCTGTAATTGAAAAGAATATCATAACTTGTCCTTGTCAGAAGTTCAGCTTGTGATTCACCTGGGGTCAACACAGGGCAAGGTTTAATAATCACTGAAGTAATTAAACATTGTAATGCCTCATGGGGCTGCTTGAACTGACATGACTTCAAGGGCACTGAGAGGCTGCAGGAAAGCAGAGGGTCAGAAAGTTCATTCAGCTGAGATTATCCCAGTTTACAAACTGGAGTTTATGACCTTTAGTTGGGATATGAGTTTCTCTGACTATCAAATTAGAGGAATGAACCAACTCTCCAGAATAAACTAGCATCCAGCATTTTTGCATGAAGTTCCAAGAGGACCCCAGGGAGACATGTTACTAGGAAGCTTGCCAAGCCCAGTGACTTTCCAGGGGGCCTGCCCACCCAAGTGCAGCCCATGCCTGACACCCAGCCCTCAATGCCCTATTCTGATCAGTTACATGGTTATCTCCAGAACCATGGGCCCTCTCCATCAGTGTGAATGGGCTGTCCACTCTGCCCAGTGCTATGACACAACACAGGGGAACAGAACCATAAGGGAAAATGAAACAAGACCTTCACAGAGGCAGTCATGCCAAGACCCAGGATGGGGGTACTTCACCACCCGGAGGAAACTGGAGAGACACCAGGAGTTCTGGGAAGGCAGAGATAAGGGGATCTGGAACTACCTGGGGTGAAGTCTTCCTAAAGGAATGACGGTTTGCATTATCATCGACAGAGAAGTGTTTGGACAGAAGAAGGGAGGGTAAGAAACATTTCAGGCTATGAGAATGGTCCAGCCTTTTTTAGTAATAAAAAAGTAGAAAAAGTAGAAATTGCTTTTAACATTATGTATTGAATAAGCAAGAAATGGCTTCCCAATTCTTTTCTTTATCATTATTTTTATTGTTTAGACAGAGTCCTGCTGCATTGCCCAGGCTGGAGTGCAATGGCACAATCATGGCTCACTGCCACCTCAACCTCCCAGGCTCAAACAATCCTCCTGCCTCAGCCTCCTGAGGAGCTGGGACTACAGGCATGCACCACCCTGAGTGGTTCATTTTTTGATGTTTGCTAGAGATGAAGTCTGGTCTCAAACTGACTTGCCTAGG